GAGAGACCTGTAGGGAGGTGACTATGGCAGTGTTTATGTTGATTTTGATTTTGCTCTTTTGCTCCCAGACTTGTCTGGCCATTTCTGACCCTTTTCCATGGGTCCCGGCCAGAAGGTGCTTTAGTTTTGTGACAGGCTTTCAGGCCTTGCTTTGGGCCAATCCCTTTTGGGTTGACTTTTGCCCACGAGGGGATGGGTCACTTCAGGTGTTTGATTTAAAAGTTATATTTGTGTTCCGTATTGTATATTCACTGTATTAAAGTCCCTTTTCATTAAAGTTTTATATATGTTTGTCTTCTTGCAGCGGATGACAGAACCCACTTAGAACAGGCAGAATTTTGGGGCTTCAGGGGTGTTCCTCCCCCCCTGTTCTGGAACAGATTTGGGGTGCCCTATAACAGATTGTCCCTGCAGTGGGCACCTCAGGAGAACTGGTCACCACTCTAGAAATGCCAACTCTGTCTAATTTTCTCTTTGATTTTATTTAAATCTGGTCAGCAACTTCACAAAGAACACAATCCTGATGACATTACGCTCAGTGAAATCAGCCAGACACAGCCAGGAAGGACAAATGCATCCTGAAGCCACTTATAGGACAGCGCTACACTAGCGGAACTCATAGAAGCAGGAGCAAAACATTCTGGCCAGAGGCTACCGGAAGGGAGAGGGGGAGGGTTCCTCAGAGTTACCAAGGTTCACTTATGCAAACAAGAAGGCCTCCAGGGCTACCTCATTTTGCCCAAACCAGACAAAACAAAATTGATGACTTCAAAATTTGCCAGGAGGGTAAATCTTAGTATGCTAAGTGTCCTGTCCACACACACAATCAAAAGAATAAAAGGGGTGGGGAGGAAACTTCTGAAGTGATGGGTGGAAATGGTGATGGCTCAGTGGGGTCAGTTGTCCTTGGTGTAGTGGCTTCAAGCCCATCAGTTGTAGACATTAAGTACTTGCTGCCTTTCACTTGTTCATCACACTTAATTTTTTTTTTAAGTTGGGCCTGAATAAGTGATCCATTGAATGCGAAGATTTTATGCCAATATCAACTAAACAGAGTTTAGTGGGAACAATTTGTAACACATATATTTGTTGAATGAAATTCCAAGTTAATAGCAAGTTTATTAAGTTCTCAATAACATGAAACATCATCATATCACATTTCCAAAGAACAGATACATTATGTTGCATGTTAGCAGAGGTAGCTGCTTTTCCCTGAGGAAAGCTGAAGAAATCTGTATTCAGAATTAGATATGTGTTGAAATCCGTATCTTAAGGAAGCTCCAGTGTAAAATTTTCAACTTTTTAGCAGCTGGAACAGCATTAGCGCATGTGATATACTCAGTAATATCTGCTGGATTAATGAAATATTGACCTGAATGATGGGTATGACCATTCTAGGTCAGCACATTGATCAGGCCTGATGAGGTTGGTGGGTTCTAAGCCAAACTATTAATGCCTTCTTCACAACAAGTTTCCCTTTGGGTCCTCACTTTTTTCCTTTAGGAAGACTGCAAGGATCACAATCCACTTCTCTATCTTAAGAACTTGTAGCTCACAATCTATGTGGCCTGGGAAGGTACTGGGTCCCCTGGTTGCTGGGGGGCCAACACCCTTCCCTCCCTAACATATCCCCTGGGACACCCCAACTCCAACAGGACGTCAGCCACAGAGATAAGTGTGTTTCCTTTTTCCTTGAAGGGAGAAAAGCAGAGTTGACTTGTACCCCACTCCCTTCCCAGAAGGTTGGACCTAGGGCTGAGAAGCCTCTAGGTGGCTTCCTGGGCCTCTCTCCTGGAACAGTGGTGCAGGGCCCTACGCTTACAAGATGGCGGAATTGCTTGGCGTCTGGCTCCCAATTCTGCCTACCTGTAGGGGCCAGGACAGGTGGGACAGCCCTACCTGTGGCCATGAAGCGGTGTGTGGCCAGTAGCAGCTGTGGGGAGATCTTCACCCTCATCTCCGAGTCCGAGAGCTTGAACAAGGAGAAGTCGTGTCTCTTTCTCTCCCGATGCGGGACCCTCTGCTTTTTCCGGTTGTCAGCTGTGGGATCACAGGGCACAGGCTGCCATTATCTCGGAATCTCTGTTGGTTTGGGAGGTTTTCTCAGAGCCACCCAGGGACAGAGATCCTGGTGGGACCACGCGAAGAGCTGCAACTGGAGGAGACACTACATCTCTCTCCCATGGAGGGGCGGGGAGAAAGAGGGAAGCCAGATGGGAGGCGGGAGACATTGCACCCCACTCGGAGTTATCTACAGCGGGGTGGAAAAGAGGCAAAGCTTTTTCCAGTCTGTTTTTCCCTTCCTTATTTTGTAAGTTCATCTTTTTTTTTTTTTAAAGGATTTACTTATTTATGCATATAGAACTGGGGTACAAGGGTACAGGCCAGAGGAGCGGGGAGTGACAGGATTCACCAGAGTCAGAGCTGGGGAGCAGAACAGGTAAATGGACTAGCATACACTGCTGAGGGGAGCAGCGGGTGAGACAGGAGAGGTCTGCTGTGCCATGTGGGTCAGCTCCCTGGCTGGGGATCAAACTCGCGCCGCATGACTGCGGTAGCTTCATGGTGCTGTGCTTTAACCTTGTGCCACCAGGGTGGGCCCTGTGAATTCATCTTAAAATAATAATGTGTGTGTGTTGGGGGGGGCATCTTTTCTTGGATGATTGCTCTTTTGTTGCCCCTGAGTTTTGAATAAACTTTCTAGCCTATCTCCCCTGTGCCAAGGGGAATAGGGAGGGGCTTGGGTTTCCTCCGGATCGGCCTGGGGCTAAGTTCTCCAGCAGCTGGGGCTTTGCACTGACCTGGCCGCCACTCTATGCTGCTTTGATTGGGGTCACCACAGTGGGGAGCTCCGGACCCTTGGACCCTCTTGTGGCTTGGGGTCAGGGAAGGACAATCAGCATCCAGCCTCCTTGGCCTTCTCAGGGCTCTTCCTGGCCTCTGTTAGCAGAGGATGGCTCCAGGGGACAGCAGCAAACACTCAAATCCCACCCACTCTTTTGTTCTCACAAATTGGATGTGCACTCTGCCTAAAAGCCCCCTCCCCACCAGAATGCCACTTAAGGCTTCCTCCTTAGAGTCCTTGCTCGATCGCCTTTGTTCCCTGTGATTTTATTTTTTTTAAAGACGTATTATTTGTCTTTAAATACAAGAACTGGTGATTTTAACAGTGTTGGAACATGACGGTTGTAAGCCAGGAGGTGCTCACTCATTTCCAGACTCTCACACTTTCGCGTGAGTGTCTTCATCCACATCCAGACCCTGGAAATCCTAAATTAGGACTGGTGGGCAGCATCAGGGAAGGGAGAAGGCACCGGGAGGGAAAGAACCAGTCAGGCTTTGATATAGCAGAAGAGGAGGGACAGGATGGGAGCAGGCACTGAGACACTCCCGCCCTCAGGCCTGATCCCTCCTGGCCCCAAGATCAGGTGTTCCTCTTCCTGCACCACCCACTGCCTGACAGTGTTAGGTTTCTACTGGGGCTGGTTTCTGAAAGGCTGCTCCGAGCTAGGACAGGGGTCTGGACCAGGTTCTGGGGGGCGGACGAGAGATTGCTGTCCAATGAGATAAAATTCAGAGCAAGAGATGCTTCCTGGCTTAACATGGATTTAGATAACACTCCCATTCTGGAGACAGAACATGCTTTGTGAGATCTGAAAGCGAAGCTTTGATAAAGCTCAGTCACCTAGGGATCCCTGTGCACAGAGGAGTCCATAGCGTTCCAGGGAGGAGACCAGAAAGAAAGGCACAGGGCCAGGAGCCAGGGATGGGATAGGGAGGAAGGCCAGCAAGCAGGGGCAGGGCTGGGAGGGCGCAGGGAGGAGCCCCTCGCCTGACCTCCTAGGAACATCTAGGGTGTGGCTGAGGTTGCCTGTGGCAAACCCCCGTGCTAATGCCTCAGTGGGGGGGTGGGGGGTGGGGGGGATGGACGGACTGTGAGCGGAAGTCAGGGGTGCGCAGAAGTCAGGGGTGCGCGGAAGTCAGGGGTGCGCGGAAGTCAGGGTGCATGGAAGTCAGGGGTGCTGGGCCCCATATCTAGGTGGACAAAGGCAAACAGCAACAACAGAGAGGCCAGAAACTAGGGCAGAACAGCCTCTGGCCTCACCTGAGGTCACACTTTGTGTCCTCTCGTTAACTCGCCATCCGAAGGCCAGGTCTCCTTTTCATAGCTCTGGCTCAGGTCCTGAAGGCCCTGTCTGATAAACAGCTAGCTCTCCCATTGGTGGTGACTCAGGGTAACTCAAGACCCAGAGCACCCTGCTGTGTCAGTGCCTGCACCATACCACACCGTGGTCCATGGGGCGGGCCCTGAAACTAAGCTCCAAGAGGCTTGAGGAAAATAGGATGACCTTGACCAGCAGTCAAGGCCACACACTTACTGTAGAGGTCAGTTTCATCCAGGATCTCTGACTTGATGATCTCTTCTATGATGTCCTCCAGTGTGACAATGCCCATCACCTCATAGAAAGGGTCCCCTTCTCCCTCATTATTCACCCGTTGGACAATGGCCAGGTGAGATTTTCCTAGAGAACAAATGAAGTCACTGTTAAGCATCTGGGACATTTCCAGAGACCTTTGCCATGAGAAAATGATACAGAGTTGCTCTCTGGCCAGTCATGGCCAGGAATCCATCCTTTTAACAAGTAGAGCATGCACCAGCTCTGAAAAATGCAAACCTTCTATGCTTAGATCTTTGTAACCTTTTAGGAAAGCTACTTACTATACTCAAAATCAGTTAAAATTTTTTCTTCAAATGCTCACCTATTAGTAAGCATATGCAAGCCAATGAAGGGTGAATAATTTAATTAAAAGAATAAGGATTTGGAGTCAGAAGAATTAGATTAGAAGCTGTTCTTGAAACTTTCCTCAACCCCTGGCTCCCAGCTATTTCAGTTACTATCGGTGGGGATGTCCTAATTTTCTCATCTAGAAATCAGGAATAATACCAGGATAGTGGCTTTGAAACATGGCCCCTAAATTCATTGATAAGCTTCCCATCGAGAGGTGGTCTATGTCCCCAACCTTGGTCTGGGTGGGCTTGTGACAGCTTCCCCGATAAGAGGCTGGGGGGTGTCTAGGCTGGCTCGTGACAGGCAGTTCCTGCCGCAGCAATACTCTTAAGAAGTTGAAGACTAGCCTGAGGCTACCTTGGAGGGAAGGTGCTCAGGGGACAGTCCCAGCCCAACCTCCAGTCAGACCCCAAAGTGCGGGATGGCTGGCTGATGGAGGCGCCAGTGGTGACAGATCTGAGTCTCAGCTGATTAGCCTCACACTCTTGTGTCCTCTCCAGGCCCCGCTGACTCTGTTTTAGGGTGATTGGTTAGCAGTGATGGTAAGTAACTGGGAAGAACAGAATCCACAAAGGTGATTGTGAAGCTGAAATGACCCAGCGGTTAGGTAGAAGCACTTCGTAAACTATAATGTGGCTTAGGCAGTTCATGATTTTTTTATTGCCCAGCAACTAAATAATGACAGTTAACATTTATTAAGCTCTAACTATGCTTTATAAGTATTGAGTCATTTTAATTCTTGCAACAACTCCTGAGGCAAGCCCTGTTAATCTCCCCATTTTACAGATGAAAGAACTGAGACACAAATAGGTATAAAGAAGCCTAGGGCACACACACCATCTGTGAGTGGCAGAGTTGAATTGCCCGCCCAGGCAGCTGGCTCCAGTCCTTACCTATGTACAGAGTCTCATCTAACAGTCTTGCTGTGTCTGGGTTTGTTTTCACCTGCTGAAAGACACATTTCCAGGTCCTGTTTTTATTTTTTAAAGATTTATTTTATTTATTTATGCATACAGAACTGGGGTATAGGCCAGAGGTGTGCGGTGGGTGACAGGATCCACCAGAAACAGAGTGGGGAGCAGAACAGGCAGATGGATTGAAATACACTGCTGAGGGGAGCAGCGGGTGAGACACGAGAGGTCTGCTGTGCCATGTGGGTCAGCTCCCTGGCTGGGGATCAGACTCATGCTGCAGTGGCTGCGGTAGCTTCATAGTGCTGCACTTTAACCCTTTGCACCACCAGGGAGGGCCCTAGGTCCTACTTTTAAAATGCAAACCTAGGTGGTTTGTCCTGGTCAAGACATTTAAGGGGAATATCTAGGGTACTTGCTGAAATGTTATTCTAGCAAAGAGTGTATTTTGGTAGATCTGCCTGTTCTGCTCCCCATTCTGCCTCTAGGGAATCCTGTCACCCGCCATACTTCTAGCCTACACCCCAGTTCTTGTATGCATAAATAAATCTGAAAAAAAAAAAAAAAAGTTACTTTCTCCTCTCCTTTCACCCTTCAAGTGCCAAGTCCTCAGCACGTGCTCCCCTTTCTGCCCTATTTGGGTCAGAGCCCCCTCTCCTTGCCTGCACTTCAGGGCCTACAGTAACCATACTGGGGTCTCCAGCTTGCTGCTTCTTGTAGCAAGTGACACCCGTGTGTCCTCTACTCGACCGTGTGGCTCCCTCAGGTCATAAGCTCCTTCAGAAGGACACATCTAGATGGGGTTTCTTCCATATAAATGCCTGGTGAGCTGAACGAAGACTGAATAAAAATCCATAGTTGGCACATATTAAAACCAGATATTAAACCTTTAGACTTCTTGGATAAAACAGACTGTGTGTAAATGGCTATTTAAACTCGGGATCAGTGGTTCTAAAATTATCCTTCTTTGAAACCACTGCACCCTATCCAATTGAACTGCTGTGTTTTGAGCTAAAGTTAGATTAATTTTTGGTATGTGCTCAATTTAAAGACTCCCCTCCCCAACATATTGCTCTTAAATTTATGACACCTGTTCTCATTTTTCTGCTAACATGTTAACAGATGACAAATGACAATGGGAAACTTGGAAAAGTGAATTCTTAAAATTATTTTCTATAATTAGAGAATTTTTGTAATGTGGAGAACAAGATTATGTGTGTATACATATATATGTGTGTATATGTATGTACATATATACATATATATGTATATACACACACTGTGTATATACATGTACATATATACATATATATGTATATACACACACACACAGAGCCATGTAATATATTCACAGACAGCCATACTTCCTACTGCTAAGAGATTAGCTCATATGATAGGACTGAAGAAATTAACATTTTATGATTCACAAAGAGTGATTCCATGTGAAAATTCCCCATTGGTCTATACTGTATAAGGTCAGTTTGAGGATGTACAGAGGATGTGCAGAGAACAGAGATTTTAAGCCATCATTATGTAATATTCAAGACAGAGTACTTAAGTAATCTATTTAGAAACATTTTATAATTCACAACCAGCCTTTAAAATGTCCTCAAGTGCCTGCAGACATCTACAAACAAGTGATGGAAGTCATTCCTGCCTGGATACAGGCTGGAACAGGCGCCAGCGAGCAGACAACCCTGCCCTGAGCTCACACTCACAAGGACAAGAAAATCAGCTGTCCTCATGACAAGCCAATCTGAAGTCCTCCCTCTCTCAAAAAGTTGGGCTTTTAAGAGGCCTGTCACTCTGTGCCTTTCCTCTTTTGGGTCCCAAAAGTATTTGGGGGGTGGCCCCTAGTGAAGCCAGTCTCTTCCCTTTGGCATTTAAAACAGTAGCAGCTATTTATTATTATCATTATTATTATTACAGCTACATTTGCTATAAACACTCTATGGGCCGGGCACAGGGCATCATACACACATTATTTCACTGCGCTGTTTTTCTCCAGTTATATGTGATGCACTCATTATGATAGCAAGCTGTCTGACACTGTTAAGGAGAAGGATGTCCTAAAGGAACTCTGCAGTTTTGTGGACTCCACCCCATACTCCAGCTTTCTGGACTCCACCCCCTACTCCAGTGATTGGAAGCTACAACTCCCAGCAGTACTAGGGAGAGAACTGCAAGGACTCAAGGGCAGAGCTAAGCAGGCATTCTGGGGTAAAAAGGTCTCCATTTTATATGGCACTCTGTCGCTTGGGAAATGGCTCTCAGGACGGTGTGGCTGGGGGCTATCGGTTAGTTTTTTACCAGAGCTCCAAACCAGCAGAGCTGGTAAGATATTCAAGTTAACTTTGTATCCCTCTCTCTGTTGTTCCCCTTTTGTAAATAAACCCATTATTGACCCTTTTTGTGTGTGTCTGCAGTACAACTGAATTTTAAGTGCACGGGTGAGGCCCCACAGACAAGCAGCCCAGTTCACACTGGGGTGCCCTGTAACAAGACGGCAGTTATGCTCTATTTATCTGGGTACTAGAATAGAACCTGGCAGAGTGAAACTCCGTAACTAATGGGGGATAACTGGATAGCCACATGGAATAAGGTGATGCCTATTTCACACTATGCACAAAAATTAATTCAAAATGGATCAAACAATGCAGATCAAAACCACAATGAGATACTACTTTATATCTGTAAGAGTGGCATACATGAAAAAAACAGGTAACAACAAATGTTGGTGGGGATGTGGAGAAAAAGGAACTCTCCTACACTGCTGGTGGGAATGCAAGCTGGTCCAACCACTATGGAAAGTTGTGTGGGGTTTCTCAACTACTAAAAATGGAGCTGCCATATGACCCAGCAATTCCACTCCTAGGAATCTATCCAAAGTACACAAAAACATTAATTCAAAAGGACACCTGTACCCTTATGTTTAACTGTAGCACTATTTACAATAGGTAAGGTATGGTAACAATGCAAATACCCCAAAATAGATGTTTAGATCAATAAGATGTGGTGTGTATATATATAAATAAAATGGAATACTCTTCAGCAATCAAAAGGATAAACTTCTGCCATTTGTAGCAACATGGATGGAACTAGAAGGGATCATGCTCAGTGAAATAAGCCAGAAGGGAAAAGGAAAAATATTGGATGGTTTCACTTATAGGATGAATATAGGGTAACCAAATAAGGGATCAGGAAAAAAACAATAATAATAATAAAAACTAGCAGGCAACCATAACTCAGAGACATTCTGCGAGGGTCGGGGAGGAAAAGGAATCAAAACCAGGGAGAGAAGAGCACCAGGGCTTTGGTGATGGTTCACAGGTGAGTTGGTGGTGGGAAGTTTATGGGGAATACACAATGATGTAAAAGATGTAAATAAAATAAATTTAAAAAATGGATCAAGCACATAAATGTGAGAGAATAAAACCCTTAGAAGAAAAACAGAGGCATGAACTTTGCAACCTTGGAGTGACACCCAAAGCGCAAGAAATGGAGAGAAAACGAACTGGACGTCATCAAAATTAGTAGGAGACATCAACAAAAAATGTGGGAGACAACATATAGGAGGGGAGAAAATATCTGCAGATCTGATATCTGACAAGGAGTGTATATCTGGAATATACCCACCAGAATGGTAAACATCGAGGGTCACTGAGGTGAATAAATTGGAACCCTCAACATTGCTAGGGCAAGGGTTACGGAAAGGGATGTAAAATTATTCACCTGCTTTGGGAAACAGTTTGGCA